CGAGCACCGTTTGGAAGACGTAGACCACCTTGACGTACGTGAAGAAGTTTATCATTTCATTGTGGTCTGAGAACTCTCGGAGTTCTTCAACTTTTTGATCCATCCAAGCATTTACTAACTTCCTCAGTCGCCGCTGAATCGGGCTTCGACATAGGAAGAAGGCTGCTTCGTTGACGTCGGTTCTGTGCTTGACTTAAGGTTTGTGCAATCGATACGAAACGTCGAGTCTGTCCCAGAGAAGCCTTTCAGGTTGTCTTCCTGACATCAGCAAACTTCTCTAGAGGCCTAGGCCAACAGGTGCTAATAACAGCCGAGGTAGTGGCTATACGGCTAACGAGTCCAGCACTGTGTTGTCAAAAAACGGTGGCACAGGCGCTCTGTCCTGCATGGTCGACGCCGACTCCAGGCAGTGATCGCACGCAGCCCTAACCCCCCATGACAGTAATGTAAATTCGGTATACTCGCCCTGCAAACATCGTCCGCACCATAGTTCACTCTCCTTCCTCAATTCCAATGGCCACAATAAGCCGTCCTAGTCGTGCGAGCGGGCTGAGAACGATAAGTGTTAAAAGTACATGAGACACTTATGAACTCTGTCAGCTTCTCATGCTATGTTTAATATTGTGTGGGCCCCATAATGCACTATCGAAAACACATGTTTGAGTTTTGTGAAACCTGTTCTGCTCAGGGGGCAGACGGCAGATGTATCCTTCACCATCTTCGATCCAGTCCTGGTGCTGACTTCGGGCATGAAATAGGGCGTTCAGAGCTGTGGAGTGGATGACAATCCGAAGTTGACATCATTGTGCATCAACGATTCCCTTTGCTTCCGCGACTCGTGGTCCTCCAAAGCCGAGAAAAAAACTATTGTTAAAATGTAAGCGATGGTGAACTGTATTGAGTATCCCAGACTTTGGCTTGCCTGGTGGTCGCTTATCTTGGAATAGTCCACAAGGTTGTATTCGCAGTCTCATCCTTGAGATGGCAAGGTGGCGGTCCGCTCAGCCGTCGACTTCATAGATCGTCTTTGTTACAAGTATGACACGCCGATCTCAACTCCAGACGAGAAAGTTGCCCAGCAGCTTCCTCCGATGCGAGCGAGGACGCATCCCACGACCTACTCTCTCATCGGAAGATTGAAGAAGGTATCGATCAGGAGGAGATTCTGTCCCGCACAGGCATATAGGAGGAGGAGGAGGAGGAGGAGGAGGAGCAGGAGGAGGAGGCAATTTCTAACCTAACACTCACTTCCAGACAGCACGGTCTGAATCGATGCGGGCACAGAAGTCGCCAGGGACAGTCGGTTTGCCCGCCCTCAGTACAGACGTTAGAAACGTGTGCATGTCTTTGTAGAATTAGTCCCTTACGTCACCAGAGCTGGTCATTGGGGGAGAGGGGGACAGGATCAAACTTGCCGACGTCGGTGGCACATTTATTTCCTCGAAAACACAATTTCATGGGTACAAGACGGTCATTGGCATCCAGCGACGGGGAGGACAGCTGTCTCACAATGCCTGTCTGATGGCAAAAACGATTCTGTCATCTCATTTTTCCGCCTTTGGACGCCCGTCCGGGAAATAGGTTTAGCCGGCAACCATCTAATTCAGCTCTCTCTGTTCGGAGAACGGAGTCGCATTGAGAGTCGAAATGTCCACATTGTAGCGCGCCCGTTTTTGAGAGACCGAAACTTTTGCTCTTTCGAGTTGGTTGATCAGTCATTAGTCCAAATGGGACGAACATGCCAGTTTGTTAAAGTGAGCAATCATTCTAGCAACCCGTGGGGTGGGCGGAAGGAAGTTGGACGGGGATGGTTGTTTTGTTTATTGGCTTGACTGCGTGTTTTGCGTTCACGTTTAGGACACATCCTAACCACTTACGCAGCAAGAAAGCAAGCAGTGCCACTCCTACATTGGTTGTTTAAACATCCCAGACAGCTGCCGAACTCCACTATGGGTCGCGATTGCTATTTAGTGCGAAGACAACCCGAAATAATCTGAGCCGTGTACGTGATAGTTGCCGCCCTCTCCGTTGGACTTTTTAATGTGTAGGAGGGAAGAGTAACACATTAAATGGGTTTAATGTGCGTACCATGACGCGTTGTGACAGTTCGGCCATCGCGAACGATAACGTCCCCCCGGTGCCCCACAGAGTAGAGCCAGGACGGGGACACGCGCTTGAATCAGTTTATAGCGAGGTGAAATTGGGAAACGTTCATCGTAGTTCCCCCTCCCTCACCCGTCAGGCTCAGAGGGAAAGACCTAGTAGGTGAGCAGCGGACTCAATCGCATACCGTCTACGCGTGCCACACAACCTGATTCCCGGATATATGCGCCATGATTGTGTGGGAGTGTCTCGAACTTCATATGCGCGATAATGTCGGGGAGGTAATGTGGCGTCTAAGCAGTAATAGTCTATCCAAGGCGCCATAACAATCACCGTCCGGTCCCGCTTTTGGGAAGAAGGGGAAAGAAACCATTAGGAGTAGTATATTTTGCACAGAAGCCTTGCGACTGTTAGAGGGCCCGCGCGAGGACCGGCCATTAGCCAGCATCTGTCCGTGCGCTAGGGTGACGTGAGCGCATGTGATTTAAACATTACAGGAGAGTCAGCCAGTGTCAGCCTGGTCAGTCGATTGAGTTGTAGTGGAGTTTGTGAGCGTCTGTGATTAGCTGTCCTCGGGGCTGAATGTGCTCACGTTCTGGACCTCGGGAGTCGGGATCACATGACTCTTCATGCGGCATGGGTGCCAGAGGCAGAAAGCCTAAATTTGAGTCGCTACAGTCATATTCGGTAGAAGCAAAGAAATTTGACTACCAGTACTGAGAAAGACAAGTTATCCTGTCAGTTGGCAGGCTTCCAAGTCATGCCTCTTAGCATATCGTGAAAGATTCAAACGCATCGGAATCACTATAACGAGGAATACGTTGAAGTGTCTTTCTGGCGGATTCTCCAATAGCGACCTTGCTCTACTTTGCCCCTCTAATACACCAGTGGACTGTCCGAGCCCAACGGCCATCCGATGTTGGTTTTGGACGCATTGGTTGGCGCGCGTAAAGCTTGCTTCGTGGTATTCCATTACATTTCCCCGAAGAGCCAAAACAGTATGTAGGGGAAGTTATTATGGCAGGTATTTTGAACTTCGTTATTCAATGTAGCATCGAAAAGTTCCCCGAATATGTCTGGGCTACACGAACTTCTGTCCTGCAACAAATCGAACACTTGGCACAGACGTTCCCAAGTCCATTTTTTGCCTTAGGTTTTAAAATAAAGTATAGGTGTAAGGCTACAAAAAGGCCTTCGCCGTCTCCTAAATTTGTCTCATAAGTCACTTGGAAAGACTTAAACTCCCAACCTCTCCCCCGATAGGGCTGTACGCAGATCATTACCAGACTCACATAACTGCTGATTACAGTGGCAACGGGGTCCCGGAATATTTCTTTCAAATCTAGTCGAAACGGCCATCTTCATGCACGTCTTTAAAAGTTGGGCAGCAACGAGTGCAAGTATTGGCCAGATGACATAGTCTTTTACAGGGAATTGGTCGTCCGCTTTGCAAAGTTTGCTAGAGGGCATCAAAACTAACTGCATCGAGGACAAAATACACTGAATTAACGTGCAAGCCAAGGGTGAAGGAGTACATTTAGCTAAGTGGGCTAAAGTCACTCGTAGGTTTGTAGTGACTTACATAAAAAAGACAACAATAATCGTCTGACACTTAAGTAAAGGATCACAAAGCACATGACCCCGTTCTAAGGGCTGAGTCAATTTAGGTTAGACAAGTCATAACTCAGTCCGAGGGGCCGTTCTTATGTTAATTCTGACGCAAATGCCCGACAATACCGTGATTTATGCAGTATTGATAACGTAGGAATTCTTCTTGCGTTAAGCACCCTGTAGAAACAATCGTGCAGGTGACAGTTCGACCATCGGTTTCGATGATGTCCACCGTGTGCCCCACAGTTGCAGCAGCAATGGGAGCAGGGACGCTGACTTGCGCAGGGGTTTATAGTGCCAGTAGACTTGCGCTGCATCTACCTACACCCTCTCCTCCTCCCCCACCTGGACCCGGTTTCAAGACAGAGTCAAGAAGACCGGAGACGAGGGAGGCCGCAGGTGGATGGCTCGGACGGATCCTCACCTTGGCGTTCCACCACACCCCCTGGTCCACACAACAAATGACCAGGATTTCAACCAACACAAGACAGATTTGGAGGCTGGCACGGCCGAAGCCGCCCCTAGGCGTGCCGCCAACGTCTGGCTCGGATCCCACGCTGTGGTTGGAATGCCATAAAGGCCACATTAAAAAGGAACCATTGCAGCCTGACTCTCAGACCGCCTCCAGTGAAGGAGGAGGTCCAAGTTACCCCGTCAGTTGGCAACCTTCCAAGCCACGGCTTTTAGCGCACCGTGATAGCTTCAAGCGCGTCAGATTGTTTATAGTGAGGAGAAAGTGCGCTGAGTCGTCGACCTCACTCTCCCTTCCCACTCCCACACCCCAGTCGCTGTCCGAGCCGGTCAGCAGACTGGAGTGGGGAATGGGCGCGGTGGCTGTCATGGTCGAATGACCATGACTGCGCGCGCCACGGCAAGACCTGGCCCCCCATACACACAACACCAGGATTTCACACAACGGGGGTTGAACGGCGTGTCTCTCACTTGCGTGAGAGTGCCGTGGAAGGTGCTGTTTCAGCCCGTTTCCAGCCCACCAGTCCGCTACTCCACACAACACACACACACAACGCGACGAACTGCGTGAACCGAGAGCGGGCGTCAATCAGCAACCTTCCTATCCACGACACTTGACGTGTCGGGATAGTCTCGGACTCAAGTCACCCATGCAGCCGAAGCCGCATGGGGACCGAGTCGAGATGCGGACTTCCCACTTGCGTGGGAGGTGGCAGTTGGGTGCATGAGGTGTGTGAGTGTTGATTTCTGGTGGGGTGATGGTGGTGGTGGAGGAGGTAGGGAGTGAGGGAATGTGTGGTGTGGCCGGCGGTTGTCTACAGCAGGTCGTCGTGGATGCGAATGTGGCCGAATAGGCCCATGCGATGCCTGAAAGTGCGAGGGCAGTGTGGGCAGTTGAGACGAGCTTGGTGGGTATAGGTGAGTGCTCCAGGCACTGGTTCGCCGGTCTCTGTGCGATGGATTCGCAAGTGACTGACCAGGCCGATGCGTGAGGTGAAGGTGCGGTCGCAGTGAGGGCAGGTGTAGTCCTGATCCTCATCACTGGAGTCGGGGAAGGTGGTGGTAGTGTCGGTTGCTGTGCGTGGGACAGTCGCCTGAGCGGCCGCCGTTGGAGCAGTGGGCGAGGAGGAGGAGGACGAGGAGGAGGAGGAGGATGATGGAAGTGGTGGGTCAGAAGAATTGTCAGGGTTAGTTGGCGGCGGAGAGGAGGAAGAAGAGGCAGGCGGGGGGACGATGGTTGGTGCCGTTAGAGAGGCGCAGTTAATCCGAAGATGTCCAACAAGTCCGATTCGAGCCCGGCATGTCCGTTGACATCGAGGACACGTTGGAAGCGGTTGTGCGGCGGCGTTGCTTACTGGGCGAAGTTGTGATTTTCGGGCTTCACGTTTCGCTTTGGCGGCAGCTATAAGGTTGGCTTCGTAGATCGCAGTGCCTGTCTTCACTGTCCTCCTCCAGGTCGGTCGATCGAGTGCGAGCTCCTCCCAGTTGGTGGGGTTGATTTGCAGGCATTTCAGGGAGGACTTCAGGGTATCCTTGTAACGGCGAATTTGGCCTCCTTGACGGCGAGAACCCGTGGCGACGTCTCCGTAGAAGAGTCGTTTGGGTAGTCGCTCGTCGTCCATGCGCACCAGGTGGCCGCTCCAGCGCAGCTGCATTTGTCTCAGTATGGCGTAGATGCTGATGATTCCCGTCCGTTCCAGCACTTCAGTGTCGGGGATTCGATCCTGCCAGTTCAGCCTCAGGATGCGACGGAGACAACTTAGGTGAAAGTGGTTCAGACGACGTGCCTGCTTTGTGTACACCGTCCAAGTCTCCGCTCCATACAGTAGTGTCGGCAGGATGACGGCCTTGTAGATCTTCAGCTTCGTGCTCAGCTGAAGACCGTGGCGATTCCAAACTGTGCTTTGGAGGCGACCGAAGGCTTGACTGGCTTTCGAGATCCTGTTGGCGACTTCGTCATCGATCTTGGTGTTTCGGGAGAGGGTACTGCCCAGGTACGGGAAGTTCTCCACCACCTGCAGTTGACTTCCGTTCACGCTGACTTGCGGCGGCGCGTTGGGGGCTGTGGCTGAGTTGGTTGGCGGTTGGTGAATCACCACCGTCTTCTGCGTGTTAATGATCAGACCGAAGTTCTCGCAGGCGGCGGAGAATAGGTGCATGCTCCGTTGCATCTCCTCTTCCGAGGTGGTGTTCAGGGCGCAGTCGTCGGCAAAGAGGAGTTCGTGAACGGTGGTTGTGGATACGCGCGATTGGAAGTGCATCCGCCGTTGATTCAGGAGGTGACCGTCCGTCCTGTAGGCGATGCGGATCCCGGGGCGTTCGTCGCGGTAGGCGTCCATCAGCATGGCAGAGAACATAAGACTGAAGAGGGTAGGCGCCAGTACGCATTACTGCTTCACTCCGTTGGTCACGGCGAATGCCTCTGAGACAGCTCCGTTGTCCGTGACTCGCGCCATCATACCGTCGTGCAGCTGACGCACCATCTGAGTGAATCGCTCCGGACAGCCGAATTTCTGCATGATCTTCCACAGTCCTTCACGATTCACCGTGTCGAAGGCTTTCGTCAGGTCCACGAAGGTAGAGTACAGGTGGGGCCGCATCTCCTGACACTTCTCCTGAAGTTGACGGGCGGCGAAGATCATATCCGTGGTCCCACGATGACGACGGAAGCCGCATGGGCTTTCCAGCAGAAGGCCCTGTTCCAGATGGCTGTTGAGGCGGTTGAGCAGGATGCGAGCGAAGATCTTCCCGGCGATGTTCAGCAGGGAAATGCCGCGGTGATTGTCGCAGACTTGGCGATTCCCTTTTCGCTTGTATATGTGCACGATTGTTGTGTCTTTGAAATCTTGCGGGACTTCCCCTTGACGCCACATTTCTTGGAAGAGCGCAGTCAGGTGATCCATTAGTTGGGGACCTCCGTGCTTGTAGACCTCAGCAGGGATCGCGTCCGATCCGGGTGCTTTCCCGCTGGACAGCTGCTGCACGGCCCTGATGGTCTCCTGGAGAGATGGCGCGAGGTTGAGGCCCATGTTGGTCTCCACTTGCCGCAAACGCTCGATGGCGGCGTCGGAGATGACGGAGGGGCGGTTGAGGACGCCTCGGAAATGCTCGGCCCATCGCTGTAGAACTGGTGTCTTCTCAGTCAGGAGGGTACGGCCGTCGGCACTGAGGAGAGGGGCAGTGCCCTTCGTCGGCGGACCGTAGACAGCTTTGATCGCAGAGAAGAAGTTCTTCCATTCGTTGCGGTCCGCGTACCCTTGGATCTCCTCAGCTTTGCGAGCAGTCCAGGCGTCCTGCATCTCGCGCAGTCGTTGCTGAAGCTGTCGGCGACTGCGGTAGAAGGCAGCTTTGTTGTTCTCAGTGGGGTGATCTACGTAGGCTTTGTGTCGGCGGTTCTTCTCGGTGAGCAGATTTCTGATGGCGGCGTCGTTGTTGTCGAACCAGTCCTGGTGTTGGCGGGGAGCGCAACCGAGGACGGCGAGCGCCGTCGACTGGACCGTGTCTCGCAGTTGACACCAGCGGTTCTCCACGGAGACGCTTTCGGCAGTGGTGGCGGCGTCGTCGTCGGCGGCGGCAGCGATTGGAAGGTTGTCTAGCCGTTGAGCTAGTTCATTGCTGAAATGAAGATGGTGAGCGGGCAAGGACAACAAGGCAACATTCAGCTTACCTGGGGATCGCTTACCTTGTGGTCTCCTGCGGGGCTGTAGGCGAATACGCATTTTCGAGATGACGAGGCGATGGTCGGTCCACCCGTCAGCACCCGTCATCCCGCTGATCTCGCCTCCAGGACGTGGACATAGTCCAGCAGGTGCCACTGACGCGACCGAGGATGCCTCCGGGTGGCCTTCTCTCGCTCCGGCAGACAGAAGAACGTGTTCGTCAGGATGAGGCGGTGTTCTGTGCAGGTGCGGAGAAGCAGCAGACCATTGTCGTTGGAGCCGCGGAGAGCGTGGGGACCCAGCACTCCTCTCCAGGCAGTATGGTCTGTGCCGACGCGGGCGTTGAAGTCACCAAGGACAATCAACTTGTCCGCCTTCGACACAGTCGCCAAGAGGGCGTGCAGGTCCTCATAGAATTTGTCTCTTGCGGCGGCGTCGGGGTTGGTCATCGTCGGTGCGTAGGCGCTGATGATGGTGGCGAATTTGCCTCCTCGCCGGAGAGGCAGGCGGAGGTTCATCAGGCGATCGTTGATGCCCTGCGGCAAACAGGGCAGTCGTCCCACGATGTCGTTCCGAATGGCGAAGGCGACACCCGCGTCTCGTCGCTCTGCCCTGGGTCGACCGCTCCAGAAGAAGGTGTAACCGGCACCCACATCCTCCAGTTGGCCTTGTTCGGAGAATCGGGTCTCGCTGAGTGCGGCGATGTCCACCTTGTAGCGCGCCAGTTCTCGTGCCACTTGCGCCGTCCTCCGTTCCAGTCGGTTGCTCCTCGGATTGTCTAAAAGAGAACGAACATTCCAGGCTGCCAGAGTGAGCGGGCTCACCCTGCCAGTCTGGCGACTGCGGCGGCGAAAAGTAGGATTAGGAGAAGAAGAAGAAGAAGAATAGGCTGGAAGAGGAAGAGAGTGGTTGTTGTTGTTGTTTCGGTTTTGGCTGTTTCGACCGTGTGTTTTTTGTCTGCGGCCACGGCCAGCCTACAGACAGCGTGGTTCCCAGCGATCTTTAGGGCACCTTTTCTAGCCCCCTCCCCCTCGCGGGGGCAGGCAACGCATCCCTGAACTGGGCTGCCCGGTTATCCCAGACGGCTGCCGGACTCGACTATGGGCCACGACTTTTTGTTAGTGAGAGAACGACCCGAATTAGCCTGGGACCTTGGTGGTGATGGTGATGTGAGGGAGTGAAGTAGGAGAGAGCATACATCCTAACGCTATGGGACTTTCAGCTAGCTAGGGTGGACAATCGGACACAGTCATCAGTCAGAGACAAGTGAGGGCACCATTCAAGTGCCAAGCACCGTAACACCTAGCTATTAGCAGAGAGAGGCGTAGACTGACAGTCGCAGAAGGCAGCGAGGGTTTCGTCTACCTATTAGCAGACAGACTAGCATACAGAGGGCAGGCAGCAAGAGCAGCATACGACACGGAACTTCAACAGACAAAGGAAGAAACAGAGCAGATGCACTTATCTGAGGAAGAACTTACCTGGTGGCCTCCTACGACGGTCCAGGCAGAGCCTCGTCTCGACGATGTCGACGGGAAGATCCACCGGCCAGCGCAGACCGCAGTACCGCGAGTGCAGGTGCACGCACGGATACCCTCACCTGGCTTAGCCTGCCGGTCGAGACGGTTGCCCGGGGTGTGGCCGCTGAGCAGAGCACAGCTACGTGGAGCCACAAGTGAGAGTTAGTTGCCATTAATAACCTTCCTATCATATATGGGACGGATATGAGTGTCATCTCGTTGGGCTGCGGCCCAGAGAAGGCATTGATCGCTTTGCAAAGCGATAGCCGATAAAGCGATATCCGTGCATGACGGGCACTCCCCGTGGGGGCGATACGGTTTTCTCGAAAGAGCATCCGCGTTGCCATGTTGGCGACCGGTTCGGAACACGCATTCAAAGACGTATTCCGCTAACTTCTCTTGCCAACTAGCTACTTGCCCTTCAGGATTCTTAAAATTTCTTACCCAAGTCAAGGCACTGTGGTCAGTACGTACGACGAACGGCCGGTACTGAAGATATGGCCGGCATTCTTCCACAAAGTGTGTGAGGGGCAGCATCTCTTTTCGAGTCACGCAGTAGCGCCGTTCTGCTTTGGTCAACGATCTACCAAAATACTAGATGGCACGCTCGGTACCGTCTAACTGTTGTTGAGAGAGAATCGCGCCGATTGCGGTGTCGCTGGCATCCGTAACCAGGATGAACATTCCGGCATCATTACTAAAATCAGGAAAGATTAGAATTGGGGGGATCATACTTTACCATTTAGCGTCTGGAAGCTGCTGGTGCAGTCAACAGTCCCCTTGAACTTTACGTTTTTCTCGGTTAGCTTGTGGAGTGGCCCGGCAATTTGGGCGTAGTCCCTTATAAATCGCCTGTAATAGGAGGCGAGGCGTAGGAAACTGCGGACCTCCGTCACGTCTGAGGGAGTGGGCCACTCACGGGTTTGTGTGACCTTTTCGTCGTCAGTCTCAATCCCCGCGGTTGAGACTACATGGCCTAAAAACTTCACGCGGGGCTTTATGAAAACACATTTGGATGGCTTCAGGGTTAACCCTGCCTGTCGGAGACTGCTAAACACAGCCCGGATATTATTTTGCACCACCACAAAATCATTTTTCAGTCTCGACCGAAACTGAATCTTTGGAAAAATAACTCCGCCAGCTATATAAGTGCCAATTTTCTAAAAACAGCCCCGTTTTGTTTAAAAATTCATAGATTCCTGAATAATTTTCTGCCTTCCTGGGACTTGCATTACCGAGGTTTACTCACCCAACGCGCCCTCCTGTCGCAAAAGTCGGCACGAATTAGCACAGACTGGAACAAAGACAGGGCTTCTAAAGTTCTGGCCGCAACTGCTTCTCTGAAGTCGATGGATTGATGGTGAGTGCAGTTACTTTCGAAAAGACATGCGGACTGTCGATAGATGTATGCATGACCTACGGTCGCGTAAAAGCGAAATATGAATGAGACTTTCTAGTTTCTGAAAGCGGGAATTCGCAGATGTCTCGTGGAATACCAGTTCACGAATATGTAATATTAATTGTTTGCTTCCATCTCTTGGCATGTTATACCTGTCAGTTTACGTTTCACTAAACAATGTAAAATGAACAACTATGACCTTGAAATATTTTTGAACCAATAACACACTTTATGTGTCCTCTAGACTTATAGCGTTTTATCCAGCGCCATATCTGTATTTTCTGCAGATACTGCGGATGTGCGTCCAGAGCGGTTTCTTTTTTGCTACAATAATGACAAACTTAGAGCCATTTTGAATGATATTGCGGAATTCAGCTGTCCATCTGTACAAAATCACCAAGACGATGGACAGATTCGTCTGTCTATTCATTATATTAACCTTGTTGTCTACCTCAACTGACGCGGATTTAGTGAATGTTGTCGGACGTTTTCATGCAAATTGGCAAACTACGCATGCCCCCTTTGCGTTTGTGCGACCACTTTATACTGCGACCATTTTACCTGATTACGGACCTAATCAGTACGTGCAATCAGATGAGCCACGGATGGGTGTCCCCGAACCTTTCAATGGCCAACCATCTGGAAACGTTAATTTTTCCATTATTGGCGATGATAACGACAAAAGTAACTTTGAAACGCGAACTGTCAAGCTTGGTGGATTTTATTTCCTGCGGATTTTGACTACCCACTTGGCAGACTTCAATACGAAAAAAAAGTCTACATACACGTTTAAGGTTCGTGCGATGTTTCAGTCAGATCATGTGAGTAATAGCAGCCAGCCGATTCAACTAATGAACGAAACTATGCTTAAAGTTCGGGTTATTGACAAGAATGACAACTGCCCTTTTTTCACTCGCGATATATTCAACTGGACCGTCCAGGAAAATTGGACCATATTTTCGCCTGTAGGCCAAGTAAAGGCGACCGACGCGGACTCTGGACTAAGTGGACAAATCTACTATTATATGAAGCCCGAAGAAAACATTGTTCCATTTCGTGTTGATCCTCGTTCTGGCGTAATTTTTCCGACTAAAAGTCTACAGATTTCTCGAAAAGATCGCGAGCAGCTGACTTCTCGACCGCGTACATATCTTTCCCGATTCGAAGGTCTGGAAGACTACACTTTCCACATCTTGGCTAAACATCGCGGAGCCTCCAGCCAAGTTTCTTGTTCTCTAGTAAGTCAGACCAAAGTCAACGTGCATATTGAGCGACTGCACTTCGACCAATTAAGTATATCTGCAAATGAGATTTCTAAAGTCCAATTTCCGGGCACTGCTGGTACAACCTATGCCACAGTTACCACTTCCTATCCAGGCTCTCGGAACGGCCCTGACAAAGTCCACGTAAATATAGTAGAGCCCGAGATGGCAGCTCTCTTCGAACTTGTGCCTGACGACAAAACTTCAATGTGGTTTTTGCGGTTAAAACACCAATTGCCAAACCTTGCCCTTTCATCGCGCTTAGCCGTAACTCTGCATGCACATGATACGCAGAGCGGCCCAACAGATTTTGTCCTTCACACGTTGAGTGTTTCTTTGCTGCCTCACTCTTCGTTCCGAATACGTTTGCCGACCGAAATCCTGGTTTCCGTCTCAGAGGCTACCATACCAAATTCAACAGTCTTCATTGTCAACCCAATCCTGGACTTCTATACATTCAACTCCAGCTACACGTTTTCAAGACTTGATTCACACCAACCCTCTTCTCTTCAATACAGTTTCAAACTGACAGATTCGGGTTCCCTTATCGTTGTCAGAAACTTAGATTGTGAACTCTTTGCCGAATCACAATGGAACGTCATTGAGATTCCATTCAGTGTTGCGGACCGGAATAACGTTCTTTTGAGCAGTATGGCAGACTCTAAATTCATAATCACTATCGAGGACGTCAATGAGCATGATCCTTACGTTTCAAATGATGGTGCCGAATTTTCGGTTCCAGAGAACCTTACGATCGGAAATGAAGTAATGAGAGTGGTCGCCTTTGATCCAGACTTTTCAAACACCCGTCTTTCGTACATTTTGTACGACGAGAACAAACTACCGTTTCTTTTTTCGACTGAAAACCCCGAACAGCTGGTGTTGAAAGCACCATTGGATGCCGAAATAATGCCAGGTGAATTCCATATCAAGGTGAAAGTTTCAGATTCAGGTTCGCCGCACCCTCGTAGTGTTGTTGCTAAGTACGTTATTCGTATTCAGGATGTAAACGAATTCGACCCCGTCTTCGTTGAAAAGGCATGCACTGCATGGTTGGCCGTCAGTTCAGATGGATACATCCAAAGTCTGTCCCGAAGCGATGCCAGCTTTGAACTCGGACGCTTTTTCGCAGAGGACCTTGATCGGGACGGCAGTGGATCTGTAAACATTCGTATAGCTTCCTCTACTATGGCTAAACCCTGCTTCCATGTGGACCCAAGGACGGGCTTACTTACTCTCACCTGTTCAAATATTGGTCCGCCGGGGAGCACTGTCGTTGTTAATTTGGAAGCGACAGATGGGGAGCGGGTGTCTGCTTCACCATTTGAACTGAAAATTGAATTGATAGATATCGAACACTCACATCTTTCCAGCGGTAGAATCTTTCACAAGTCCTGCCAACCATCCGAGATTTATGAAACGATGCAAGCTCGAAAGATGCAACGAGCCACGCTAGAGTATCTCCTCTCCGACTCTCACCAAGGCACTTTTCCGACGAAATCTGAACTCCAAGAACCGCCCGTCTTGGACCTTCCAGCGGATCTTCATATCCCGGAGAACCTCCCTTTGGGTACAAGCATTTTTAAGTTCTCGGCATCCTTTCCTCCAGCCTATCAAAATACGGACACAACCAGACTTATCTATGGGATCGAAGGGAAGCATGCTATTCCGTCTAACAATTACAGCAGTTTCCCACAAAGTTCTGATTTCCAAGCTTTTCTGCTGCGACCTTCCTATCCTACTCATCAGAACTCTACTATCCTTTGTTCCATCGATAAGATGATCGAACTTGTTGTTGCAGCCCATTTGGATCGTGAAGCTTTCTCGGAATTTCACGTAGTAATTCATGCCTGTGTCCTGCAGTCTGCTAAAATGTGCACCGCTAAGGATTTGACCATTCACATCGATAATTTAATTGACAGCCCACCCTATTTCATACAAACCAATGAGTCTCTGCAGAACTCTGTTTCCGGAAGCAATGTCTTCACTATTTCCGAGGATGCAGGTGTTGGTACACGGCTTGGACAGGTTACAGCCACCGCCGACGATATTCAAGCTGAACTGCAGTACTCTCTACGAAATCATGTGGACACCTTTAGGGTATGCTTTATCGCCCTCGGTTTTACTTATCCGCTTTCCCATGTAACAGCCACAACAATAATCGTCCTATTCTTTTAGATTCACCGACGAACTGGCAGGTTAACTCTGAAGAAGAAGTTGGACCGCGAGTTCC